AGGTTACAATAAGGCCAAATTATGTTTATCTTAACAAAGTTGGTCAGAATTAATTCGGGATCTGCGTATGCAATTAGTAATCATAATGTCCATTTGTCTATCTGTCCTCTGTCCGTCTGTTTGTCTGTTACCACTTGAAGTTTATCTCAGGAACCAGTACTATGCTATAGTGTTTTTTTTAAAATCCTTATGTCAATGCAAGGACTAATACTAAAATAGAAAAGGTTATGGCCGTGTTTACACGATGGACATCAGCTAATTTTTCAGATTAAGTACTAAGCAAACATGATAGCCTGATTTATCTTCACTGTTGTGTTATTGTTCTATATTAGTATTTATAATAAAGTTATTTAGTACTCTTGCATTAGGGAAGAATGCTACTTTGTTTTTCCCTCATAAATGTTTCACTCGAGCTTGGTCCTTGTGAGGTGTGTTTCCCTATAAGACCACTAAATGTATAATATGGAGGAGGGGTTATGATGTGGTTGTGTTGTCTGTTAATGCTTCTATCTGTATGAGACAAAATGAATATGAATAAGAACATGAATTGGTACCTCCTTCTAAAACACTGCACCAATTTTGATCATATGTGATACACATAATACTTAAATTAAGTGTGTGTGAATAGAGTATGCAAAATGGATGAAAAGCATTGTTTGCATTTCTAAAGAACACATACTTCACCAATTTCAATTATACTTGGTACATATAATGCTTACATAGATCATGAGGGGACATGCGTATTCGAGCATATAAAACAGAACTTAAGCTCCAAATTTTATGTAGTTATGTCCCTTTGTTGATATACATTGCTTGAGCTACTCATTCTAAAATAATGTTCTGATTTGATTGATCCTCTTACACAGAACCTTTACAGCAACATATAGCAATTTTAGTAAACCTCTCCTATATTTCCCCACCCAATAACCATGGAGAGAAAGTTATGAGGGACTAAGTGTTTGGATAAAATCATGGAACGGTTGAGACCTCAACTGTTTGACCATATCCATACCTTTGGAAAAAACCATCTGTGTTTAAAGTCGTCCAGTTATTGAGTGTCCATAATATTAAAGAATTGTGTATACTAGGAAAATTCATATATTTGGCAAACAAATTAAACGGACACCACGTGAAGAGCCATATTTTTTTTCAATGTTGAGTTGTATTGTATGCACTTCCACTTATGTTACCTCGCTATCCCCATATTCATAGTCCGTTCCAAATGTCCAGTTTGACCACTTGAATTGTTCGGGAAAGCCCTGCTAAAAATAGCGCCAATAACGTCACCTGTCTAGGCAGTAAAAACGAGCGGTTTCCAAAGGGGGCCCCCAGAGAGGGGCATCAGGCAACTGCAACTTCTTACCGCACTATGAAACCAAGTAATATGATTCCGTATTAAAACTTATTGAACAGTAGTTATTCATCATCAGAAGTTAATTGCACACTTGCCATTATTCAGAATTTAAATTTATTTAGCTTTAAACATATTTGTTGCCAATAAAATTGAACAAGGGATGGGGCACACGTTTTTACAATTTATCACAGCCTTCTCCCGTCATAACATTTACAATTAAATGTTAACAATGATATTACTCATAATAGGCATAAACATAAATTATATATATATATAAATATATATTGAATTTAGTACCGGAATGTGACATCTGTACGGGGCTTAACACCTTTCTTCAACCATGGGACAAACCTTTCTGTAAAAAGGAATATTCACGAGACGAATATCCCTTTTCAAATGTTTTCATAAAGTGCATATATGTAATAACAAACTACACGCGTATAAAAAAAGAGAAACGTTTGTGATTTTTTTTATTACATTGTACAACTCAATATCTTTGGCCATTTTTTTTTCTCTATACCATGCATATAAACTTATGTATACTCTCTTTCCCACTTTCACTGTCTCCATACGCTAACACTTAGTAAGTCATATTAGCCATCACACACACTAAACTGTATGGCAAAACAACTACGTGTACATGTAGAATATGTGTTAGATATGGGACGTGTTGAGATACTTGATAATTACATTTTTTCAATAATTTTCATAGATTAAAGCATTCATGTCAATGGACCCTTTTTTATGTTGAGCGAACTTTTCTTTAATCATTTAATTTTTGTCCGAAACAGAGGCCGTAGTTATCGGCAGCACGCGTCATTTTTACAACGTAAACAAATGTTTCTTCCCCTGTTTTCAATACGTATTCCGATTCTATCTGAAGTCGAAAATTAATTCTTTATAGAGAAAAGGTTGTTACATGATCATACATTCTAAGTCAACAACATATGAAAACATTAACTGTTGAAAAATTACGATTTAAAAAAAAATGTTACGCGATCCTATTTACTAGAAGGAGGTTCTTCTTCCTCAGTTATTCATCCTGGTCCGTCATTTTGACATTTTTAATCTAGCTGCGATAATGTAGCTTTCTGACGACGAGAGACTTTTTTTTATATATTGCGTCGTCGCGCCAAATGAAGCCGGGTATTCATATTAGTACTTATTAAATCTTGTATGTAAAAACATACAAAAAATCGGTTAATTCAGCAATATAATTAAATCATACCATTTTACTGAACCCGGTAATATTATAAATTACGTAAATCTAAAAGCGCACGTATCTCATTTGACCCCGATCACGAGTACCGACAGAGACAGAATACGCCGTGGCTATCACAACAGTTATAACCCTTGGAGGGCCTCATGACAAAATCAAACTAACCAGTCACCTATCCCTTCCTTTCGCATAAACCACTGTATAATTATAGAAACACAAAGTAAACTCTCTCCGATACATGCCCATTGACATATTAAACTGAAGTTTATCTGTGTTCAAACTCAGACAAAGATACTAGCGAGGTTAATAGTTTTAGATATTTATTCATAACATAAACAGCGCTAGCATTTCTGTCGATTCCATTTCAGCTTAACCGGCTATCCGGAAGAATACATGCACCGTACTAACTGCTAGGGCAGTTATTTTCTCCTTTGAATACTTCCCACCTGTAATAATGATTCCGTAACGTACTCCTTGCGCTATCTTTTGACCATTTGGCAACTTTTCGCTTCGTAGCTGACACGGTACAACACTTTTCTTTGGCTAATTACTTCACACGGCCAGTCATTTTGTTTACAAAGAAATGGTGTGCAATGCGCATGCGCTTGTAGAGGGAAATCCCTGAACAAAACGTTGGTCAAACAGGTAGAAATACCGATGATTATCTTAGATTTAATCATTTTATGAATCTATTTCAGCCAAATCCGATCGTTATTTTCCATAAGGAGTCTCACTTGATATGTTTATGTAATATTTGGAAAAAAGACCAAAAAAATAGTTACTTCAGCGTGATGCCCCTTTGTTTTCATCCTCTGTACATTGTCCATGATTTGTGTAAAATATGTATTGTATACTGATGGGCCAATGGCCCAAAGTTTGAATAAAACTTGAAACTTGAAACTTGACCATATCCGTGCTGGCTTGGCATTAAAGGACGAATACACTCATGCTTTTATGATAGCCTGCTGGTTATGCTGATCCCTTAAGATGTAGTCTCTTGGTCATTGCTTTTTCATGGAAATCGTAGAAACAGTCAACCATTTATATAAATGCTGGTTATGAAGATATGGATACATTTGGTCTACAACAAGTACTTTAAGGATTCAGCCCCGCCCTTTAGGCCTTAGTACAGGTTTATAACATTGTAATACATGTATTTGATATTCCTGCAACCATACAACCAAACATGTGTGTTAAAATGGCATAAAGAAGCAGACACAATCATGGATGTACCCTTGGGTCTAGCCCCATTATAAGATATTTATTTGTCTAGAATGGCTTTTAATGAAAACGTTTTATCAGGATTGCTTTAATATCATAGCCATCTTATTTTTGTTAACAAAAACATAATTCGGACAAACTCTGAATGATCACCGCAATGTATGCACACATTAGTGATGACCAAATATGCAACAACATATCCAGGTAAATTAGCAAAAGGAATCTGATATAAGATGAATCAACACATTGGATTTGAATTGCGATTTTGTGAAAATTAACATAAAATAGTAACAATTGTTACATTTTGTCAACTAAAAACATAATTTATACTTTTAAAGTAAAACAAAATCGGGCTTGGAAAAATAAAAGAAGATGAAAAAAAGTTGCGCNCCCCCGTGTTCAGTGGTCGTGTTTGCACTTTCCCTGTTCAATTTGAATTAAATCAAAACGATACGAAATCATACATTGAACTTCAGTCTCATAATTCAATCAGAGACTATAAACTATACGGACCCGCGAATTAGTTACAATAGTATTTGTTAGGACTAAATCCTGATATGACGGAGTAATCATTGATTGGTTGATAGGTGCTACGTCCACTTCACTACCGAGTAGTTCGGTTATCCAGCAGACGAATCCGAGTGTTGGTTGAGATAGATCTAATTTATACGATTTCCTTCGTCCACAGCGCTTGAGATGCTTAAAGAGATGCGGTTGGAAGGAGGCATATTGATGTTATGGAATTTTCTCGTTCAGTCAATTTTTCTCTAACAACTATTAGTTTACAAGTATCCCGTCTTGGACCCTATATTTTAGGGTATGCTATACTAAATATATATTTAAATGCTTCCAGGCCCCTGCAGAATCGGGCATGGGGGTCGGGGAAGGTTCGTCGGTGTTTTCTACTAAGGGGACATCGAGAAACCAAAGTTGATATGTTGTCCCATTGCAAAACTTGTGATCGATATCTTTTCTTTCTAACCTCCATATTATTTTACAGCTTTTTAAAATTAACTTAGCTGTAGTGAGGTTGTGATACCCCAAACAAACTCGTCAGGAAGCACGAACACTTTTCAATATAGTTTAATATCAGGGGAAATAGGATGTTCCAATAATAAAAAATGAATAATACAATAATACAATAAAATAATTAAATTGAGAACTCATAAGAAGTTAAAGTATATGCGTGGTAATGTTAATTCTTACATGCTAGTATTGAGTGCATCAGAGAGCCATGCCCCTCCCATAGTGTACTGGTCCATTCCACCGTACAGTTGGTTAAAGAACAAAGGATGCCCTGGAAGGTTGGAAAAGATACAGCAATACAAATAAGCCATTACAAAATTATCATAAAGCACATCACTCTTTACTTTTACGTTTAGAATGATTAATGAATTTTCCATGCCAATTTTTTTTTTAAACTATCCTTTCTGGACTGAATTCGTAAGCATTACCGTGTCACCTGGCTCAAAAGGTCTGAGCCGTGACCTTGACTATTTTAACAGTGGCTACATACCTGTATGCACACTATATTTGATGACATCATGACAAATATCGAGAAGTCTCGCGTCTTCAGTAGGCTCCTTCAAAGTCAAATCCAAGATATTTTCAAGGTCGGCTGGAGGTTTGAATTCAATGACTTTCGACTCTCTGTCTCTTGATCTCACAAAAACCTTTTCAAAAATATCTTCGACCAATTTGGTGAGAAACCCCTGGCTTCCGATGGCCTGATCTGTAACGTGCAGGAAAAGTAATTTGCATGTATGAGCAGACAAGTGTCAAACTTATTCATTAACTGACAAAATTCATTCTCTGATATAAATTTTAATAAAGTTTAACAAATACTGGGGTTACAGATACGTAGATAAAGACTGAAAACAATTTAAATATTGATTATGTTATAATGGCGTCTAGTTTATTGAAACAAGGAATCGTGTTTCCCTACCTCAAGGGCAATTTCACCTTGATTAATCTTGATTAACTCGGGCTTCGCCCTCATGAAACATGATAAATCTCTGCAAAACAAATAATCGTGTTCCCCTTTTACAAAGGCAATACATGTATAATGATCTGGTTGTAATCCCTTTACTAATTCAACAGCTAATATCAATAAAGACGTGCCTCCATGTGTGTTGTGAATATGTGCCGGTTGCCCCAATCCCACCTCCTTGCACCTCTCTTTATACAAAGTTGATTTTTCTGCCCTAGAAAACTCCAGACCAAATATGATTTAATACCCTCATTCGTACGGTAGAAGGGGTTTAAACATTTTTCACTATGTTACCCCAAGCCCTGCTCGTCAACCCTTTCTGGAATCCACACTCTTCGTTTATACAAAATTGAGTCCTCTTTACTCAATGATGCTCTGTACAAAACTTTCCATTTGTACAGAATATGAAGTATTTAAAGATATTACCTAAATGTCCCCTCTTGAGCTTCATTCATACAGAAGAAGGAGTTTAAATATTTATGTTCTCCTAAATGGGCCCGACCCTCTTTCCTAAGAATCGTCTTGCTATAGGATAAACGATTTTAAAATTTCCTCAATTTCCCCTTTGGGCCCCACAACTCTGCCTCCAGTGGGGCCACACGATATGTTTATACATATTCGAGTCATCTTTACCCAAGAATGCTCTAGGCCAGATTTAGTCAAAACCCAGTGCCGTTCAAGATTAAAGTAGATCTTTAAGAGCAACATTGACGGGCGGACGGAGGGACGGACGCCGTGATACGGCATAGGTTCACCGGTCCTTTAGACCAGGCGAGAATTAAATCCCAGGAAAAAGTACAGTGCGACATTAGTATCCTCTCACAATTCTAAACAAAGAAAGTGGCTGAACCAATAAAAATCAGAAATAGACAAAACCTACTTGAAATGGAGATTTTTTTTAAAAAGCTGTCGATGATTATCATTAACTTAATTTTATGATAAACTTTTAATTTTGGATACCCGGCAAGCTGGAATTTTCATGTGAACCTGACTCAAGTAAATGAGCCGTATAAATAGACACATGCTGGTGATATCCAAAATGTTTAATGTTCCTATTGTTCATTTTAGTAAAAACATTGATGTCCTAAAAACTAGATAGGAACTACAGTATCAATATTTCTTTCTTTAAAAAGTGTTCTATTTAAGGCATCCTCACGTTATGCGTGCATGATAGTAATGCGTGCTTGGAATGACATGTTTGTTTATTTACCTCTTTGCAATAAGGTATCGACATATGCACTCCGCGCAGAAAAAAATATATCAGCATAACGTTCCTCAAGTACACGCATACATTTTATGCATAGAGGGATGGCCTTAATCATCTTAGCTGTTGAAAAGACGTTTAACCTTATAAAACCAATCCAATCCTTGTGATAACACAGATCTTATGCCGAATTTACTAGTGTGCTTCTTTTGAAGTCTTAGCATACAGCGCAAATGGTCGGATATCATTATAGATTTTTTTTTATTTATTAAAATTATGGTATAATCAATTTATTTAATACAGTTATTCGAAAACATTTGACAAATATATTGAGTGGAGCATTTTTTTTTATATTAGGCATTTCGTAGTATTGGTCTCGATTCTGTCAAAAATCGGTACATTCTTCTTCCCGAGTAATAAGTATGTCCTATGCGAAATCGTGAAAGGACGACCTCCTCTCTACGGCTTCCTCTGATAGGGATATTTGAAGAACTAATTGTTTTTAAAAAAATACTTTTAATGAAATTGTAATAACAGATTCAAGTATAAATCAGGTATTGCTTGGTTGATTGGTTTACAGCTTATGTGTTACATTAGTAGCTTTGCCTACCAATTCATTTTCACGAATTCCGTCATGACCAGGGACCCATAGAAATATTTTATGACAGTGTTCTCAACAGAGTTTGATACGAAGGAGGATTCGCTGCATATAACTGTTATCAAAATTGCTAAAAGATGGCTTTATAGCATTTTTTCTTCTGCGAACTGGCTTACAGTCAACAACTATACAATGATGCACTTGATTGTTCATTCATTAACAGATCATGTCTTCGTAATGTATTTGCATACAAACAGACATTTAACGTATTTAAAACCGTTACTGTCAATCGCCGCACAATAATATCTTTTTTTTTTATGGATCAATTAGTCACTTTTTGCAAACGGGGTGTTACAGGATTCAAATACCTATAAAATATTTAAACAACTCCTTCTGAATAACCAGAAGGCCCAAGCTGATGATATTTTGCGAGTAATATGCTGGGGTAATGGGCTACCAAGTTTGTTCAAATGAATGACCTTCACCAATATTTACAATGTCACAAGTAACAATTGTGTTAAATACATTACTTTTAACGACTTCTTCTGAATGACCAAAATACAAAAGGGAGTGAAGTGTAACCAGTAGCATGCTAAGATAAAGAGCTTTTGTTCATGTAAATAACATTGACCCACTTTCAAGGTCATATCTGGTTGATTGTGTGTACATCTTTAAACGACATCTTCTCAATAAACAAAAGGTTTAGGGTGTTGATGTTTGGCAAGTTGCATTCTGGGAAGAAGGGTTTTAAATTTCAATTCAATGTCTTTGTTTGACTCTCAAGGTCATAGGAGTCAAATATGTTTAAATATTTTAACAGGTTCTTTTAATGACTTTGAGTCATGGTACTGATATTTGGCCTGTAGATTTATTTTAGTCCACTTTTAAGGTTTGAAGTGTGAGGTTAATACCAGGTGAGCGGTGCGGGTCCATTGGGCCTCTTGTTCGATAATAAGGTAATGTCTGCACGTGCGTTTGCTGGCTTTCGAAGTTATATAAATAGTTGTAACCCCTTCCTTCGGGGGGAAATGCTACAAAATGAAAAAGAAAGTAAGAGAGAAGGAAATATGTCAAAACAGCAGAACCCGTGCAAGTTCGGGGAAAGAATAGGCCTACTGTATCCCAAAACATTTCCTCAGTATTTTGAGAGTGGCGGATACATCTAAAAACAACATTTGGATTTAAACTGAATTGTTAAGGTTTCCTTTTCTGTGCATGTAGTAAGCCATGTTAACAAAAGACGCCCGTTTCTGGTCTATGACAACATCAAATTAAACATTTTGCATATATAATAACTCACATGTCACAAAAGAGAGGAAAACAGTCACGTGATATTAAGTAATTAAGTTTTGACAATTTTTTTGCTACCTTTCAAATCTGTCGATTTGTCTGGTTGAATGGCTTTGAGAGAGAAGAGCAATTCTAGAATGAACAAACATAATCTGTAGCGTTAGGGGATATACTTATAATTATATCGCTTGTTATTAGCTTAACGTCAAAATGTTAAGATGCATGATTTAGTTAATTTCCAACACAAACGCAGACTAATCGCTTCTAATTTGCACTCCGTTGGCGGCATGTTATTTAATTTTAACGAGAAATTGCTTTAAAGCGTCATCACGCTGAAGTATATTTCGTCTCCTTAGAGCTACGATGTGCTTTCTTGATTTTTCATAGTTTAGAGAAAATGGCAATGGAAAGTTTTGGATCTTTCCCACAATTACATGTACCACAAGACCACTAAATGTATAATGTGGGGGAGGGGTTATAATGCGGTTGTGTTGTCTGGCCATGTATCTACCTGTCCAGCTGTCTGTAGTCAAAATGAATATGAATAAGATCATGAATTGGAGAAACCTCTCCAATATATGGAGGTATGCTCCTTTGTTTAAAAAATGGTTCACCCTTCTCCTTCTAAAACACTGCACACATTTTAATCATACTTGGTACACATACTACTTGAATTGAGGGGATGTGAGTATGCAAAATGGAAATACCTCCGCTTTTGATGAAGTTATGCCCTTTTAAAAGCATTGTTTGCACTATTAAGGAGCACGTACTTCACTAATTTCAATGATACTTGGTACCTGTAATGCTTACCTTGAGGGAACATGAGTATTCAAGAATATAAAACGGAGAACGTTAGCTCCCAAATTTATGGAGTTATGTCCTTTTGTCTAAATACATTGTTTGAGCTACTCATTCTAAAGTAATGTTCTGATTTGATTAATTCTTATTGCACAGAACCCTTACACCAAAATATAAAATCGAGCAATATCTAAATTTCGACCAATCAGAAGCCTCCGTGCCGTGTGGTTGCTATGGCTACGATATCAAAATAAACACTTGAATGCACATCTACATATGCCCATTATTACTCATTTGAAGTTTCATGAAGAAACGGAGTAAAACCAATAAGTTCCCTAAATAAAACATAAAAAAAACCACTAGGTCTTTCCACGTGTTGGTGAAAAACCGTAATTAAACTCCGTGTGATTACTCTTTGCGGCATCCCCTGTACGAACAACATTTTAAAACTTTGGGAACCGGCATCCGTTTTACATTCTTTTCCTTTTTTCTTTTTGAAAAACGAATAATTTTTTAACTTAACTTTCGCCCACCGGAAAGTAAAGTTAGAAAGATATTCAATATTTGCAAAACGAATACCAAATAACGAATAACTGTCCAACTTTACCGTTATATAGTTAGCTTTTTTAGACAATCACATTTTTTTGAATTATTAACACTTTTAAAGCATGAACTGAAGCACATTTACCTATTTTTCACAAACAATTGCAGAAACATGTTTTTATATATACCTTTGCTTGAACCAGTCTGCATATTCGTTTTAGCTCTCTTAATCCGCTGAGTTGTTACTTTAAACCCACAGGAAAACCTTCACACCACTCAGGTAAGGATTTATGACTGCAGTTAAAAATTAAGGTTGTTCTGCTTGAGAGCATATCAGATCTATTCACTTAGGTCATGACTATAATTGTTGGCATAGAGGTGGGGCTCGTAAGGGGTAAAAGGAGGTTTAAAATCTCTTCTAGTGTCCCTGTCCCACTGCACTGTTGTTTTTTTTATTTATATATATACACACAGGTACCTTCCCTTCTTTTCGCTTCGGATATAACGAGAGCACAGTTGGACTTTGACACTCCGTCGACAAGGTAGCCTAGTATTTTATTATGGGGTAACGAACGTCACCAGTGTTAAAGACTGGCACTTTCAAAACCATTCCAGTTGCGAAACTCTTAGTGAAGGACACAAAAATCATCGTTATATAATCGTCAAGAGAAACTAATATTGTAAATCAGATCCTTTCAATCCGGCCTTCTCACTCGTATCCAAATTATAAAACTTGAATTCGAAATAAACAACTGTATTCCAACATTTGCTGTTCACATTTCATTCCCCTTGGAAAACGCAAGTAATATTGAGACTATCCAATCATTTATACCAGTTGATTTACCTTTTCGGCTTTGCAGGCCCGGGATCGAGAAAAGAAAACGTCTGTTGTTACCCACTTCAAGCAACGTAAGAGGCGACTAATATGGGAACCCCTGCAGAATTGGGGATTTGCTTTTGTGCCCTCTGTTTGAGGACACATAGCGACCAAAGTAAATCTGCTGCATCCATTGCAATATATTTTGGATCTTCAGATATCTTTCTACTTTCAAATACCTTTATTACCTAACGCCTTGCTTGGCAACACCCCATTTTGGCGTTAATGTTGATCGTTCTCCCAGGTCCTAACAATAGTAGATGTTGTTCCCTGCTTAACGTTCAACATTAAAGGGAATGGCAATGGCAATGGCGATACAGCACTGTAAAGTCGGCATCAGATCCGCGCTATCACAAGAAGGCAAGTACACCAGCATACCCTGCCTTCAGCACACATACACAACGCGCATGAAGGCACGTCCTTAAATGACCTTAGCTGTTGAAAGGACTTTAAACAAAATAAAAGCAAAACCAAACCCTAATGGTGAACTAGATCAAGCATCTGTAAGCTAATTCATATACAATGGAGTCATAATCAAAGCAAAGGACTCTCTTCCAAATTTGGGTCAAACCAAAGACTTTAAAAATAGAAAAGTATTGTTCCCTGCTGAACGTTCGGCCACGACTGATTTACCAATGTGACAGAGTTTAATATTGTGCTTGATTTCTTTGGCATGGTATGTCAGTGAGAAGGAGGCACACCGCAGATAGAAAGTTGCCCTCTCGCGACTGCGCATAGGCCATACCTTCGTCATCCATGGTTACATTTTCGTAAAGAATAACGTTATTGTTAAACTCATGGAGGTCCATGGAATGTAAATGCCTGCTGTATCCCCCTGCATGATCGTAAGAGGCGACTAATACGCCTCCCCCCTTTGCAGAATAGGGGTAGGTTTCTTCCTTGTTTTCTATTTAGGTTACACTGAAAAAAAATAAGAATAGACCTGTTGTATCCCGCTGCTTGTAAAAGGCGACCCCTGCATAACTCGGCTTCAGCACAATTTCCATGCTTGAGGATGATAACGTTTTTTTTTCAATATGATAGGTGCCAAGGATTCAAATCCTGTATTAGCCCTGGAGAATTATTACAATTTGAAAACTGTTTGTTCATTACTTTTTTATTACATTTTGTTTTTCTCGTAAAAGGCCTATAAGGATTGCTTTTCTTTTCAGACTTTATAAGAATTTTCCTTTGTGACAGAGGATATCAAATTGTAAAATTGGGGTACCTAACCCTGTCCGGGCCCATTGGAATATTGGCTTAAATATTAAAAATCTTCTCTAGACTCGTAAATAATAAAATCCAATACAAGTTCTCTTGATTGATGAAAATGTCAAACATGCTTTATCTAAATCGAAAAGTGTATTACCCAAGGGTGATCTTTTGACACGTTGGAAGGGGGAATATATCATAGATTGTGTATACTCAAGACACATGCTTTCTTGATGTTGCAATAATCCTATAGTTATATAACATTTAAGGAAAAAAAGCACAAAACATTATTACATTATTATTAAATTTCTGTGTAGGCAATAGTCTCAAATTTATTTTCCGTCCGAGAAGTTTGGACCAACCACAAGTACCGCTTCAAGAAACATAATGCATACTTATATGACTGTTGCAATATCTCCTTAGTGCTTAATGGTCAAGGGTGAAAAATATGGTAGGTGTTAAAATACATAGTAATTTGGTTGCTTACATGTATATAATATTTTATAAGATTTATGATACATTTATCACGAATACTTGTTTAAACTCTCACAGAATGCACAAAATTTCATGCATATAGAGTATCATTAAAAGACATTAGTCCCTCATAGATGTACAAACAGATAAAGTAAAGTGTCTTTGACACAGTAATACGCTAATATAGCATAGAGTAAAATATTTCCACCAATGGAGAGAATCTAAAATGATTATTATTTAAGAGTTCAAATAATGGCGTACAGGCTTCTTTTTGAACATAGAAAAGGAAATTTCATTGATAAGTTCATTCAATTGTTGACTGCCAGACACATCAAGCTGTTTTGAATAAAATGTTGTTTTGTGTCTTGGAACTAATATATTTTACTGGATGCATGTCTAGTTGAACGTTTGTGAACACTTCCAGCCAAAATACAATCATTGGAAAGATACTGTGGCACCATACCATTGATGCATTAATAAGTCGTAATTGACTTTTTAAATTTGAAATGTTTTTTGAATCTGAGTCCATATCATAATTTTGAACCTTTCAATTGAAGGAGCACCATATGATACACCTACAGCCTGCTTTTGAGCTTTTGATAGTCTATCTAGAGAAGAGTTAAGACAACCAGACCAAACAGGTTTACAATACATAAAATGACGGAAAAAACAAGCATTATATAATTATAAAACTATTATTGAACAAAAGCCGATACGCCGTAGTAATCCTGATCCTTTATTTATTTTGGAAATAATTGATAAAATATGATTTTACCAGGGCCTGTATTCATGAAACCGTGCTCATGCTCAAGCATGGATTTGTGCTCAAGCCTAATTTCTTGAACCAGTTAAAAATTGATAATAAAACGTTATTATGTCAATAACTTTAGAACTATTCGAAGAGACTTTTAAAAGCAAATATTGTTTTCAATGTCTACATTTGACTTGTTTGATCGTTTGACATGATTTAAGTGAGTTGCAAGAAAGTTACTTTGAGCACATAATCAATGCTTGAGCATAAAAACGGTTTCATGAATACGGGCCCAGGACAAACTGTCATCAATACTAATACCAAGTAGTTTCTCACCATGTACATCGGCCACGGTTTCTCACCAAGTTTGAGACTGAGGCTGTCATTTAGTCCCCCAAGTTTCTGCTTAGCAGCAACTAGCATACATTTAGTTATATTTACATTTACTATCATCTTGTTGACATTACACCATGTGTCAACATCATACAGATCTTCCTGTAGTTTATGCTGAATATCAGATATGGATTACCCCGAGTAAGATCAAGTGGAGTCATCAGCATGCATGCTTATGTTAATGGTAAGAGTTTAAAACCTAAGTCAATGCCCCATACCAATGGAGAGTAAAAAAATAAGTCATTTGTGCTACGTATTAGCTATAGTGTAATTTCTGTATTCCCCAAGCGGAACGCGAATTCTAACAATGCTCTGATGATACAACAGGAAGTTCAACAGGATACATGTAAATTAAACTGATTGCTATGTTCAGTCAGCCTTACCAGGATACTTAATTTCCTCTATATTACAATTAACATTGTGTCATAAAACAAAACTTCACTGTAAACAAATATTGTAATGCATGAATCACATCAAACGTCAGTTATCGGTAATGGTGCTATCACAATCCCCATAATTTTCCAATTTTAAGGGTCAATTAAGCTTAACCATTGCTTGCTGGTTACACATCATGTGAAATGTACTAGATTTGTCAGGTTAAGTTCTATGGACAGTTACATGTTGTGTTACTTATACAGATTTGGTTTAATACTTCTCTGTAAGTTACACAAGAGTATGTGCATGGGACTACACACTGACGTATTGCATGTATGCGTACTTGTATAAGTATTTGATACACAAATAATTATGCCAGTGGTCTGAAACGGAAGTGGGGGTTGGGGTGGAGGTGGGGATTGGAATACCTTTTACCAAGCTCTCCTTGGCAAATACATCTCACAGGCAAACTTTATCAGAAAGTCCCACATCCTTCATAACTGTCCTCATTTAGGTGTTTTTCTTCAAATAGGTGCCAAATTTCAACTTTAACATATTTAGATTTTCATATTATTTGTAAGCTGAAATATAGTTTTGATTCCAGGACATACCAATATGAGGCTCGATACCCATAAAGGAAGTCCAATGTTCTGTCGCAAAATGCAACAGACAATGAGGAAAGTGACCAGGTGGGGAAGATATGTGAGGAAGCTGTGGCCTCAACAAGAAAAGTTATGAATTTTGATGCAGGATTCTGTATCAAGAGTGTAACTAAATATAAATCTGCATGTAAAATATGTAATAAAATAGCTTTATTGGACACTTTTGAATCCATATTGGGTCACAACTGCACAGCATGAATACAATGCCTGGCAAACATTTATTCCAATTAATTATCACATTGATAATTGCAGCCTCTATGGGTTTATTAACATCTTTCAATTCTTCCTGTGCTGCCTGAGTTACAAAAGAGATTGTTTTTTTGTTTTTTTCGTTGTTACAATGTTTATATTTTTATATAATATTTAACAGTCAATTTTATAAGCCATGCTTTTTCCATGTTTAACAATGTCAGAGTTGAATGAATCATGAATATAATACTATAATTTGGTGTATTTATTTATTCCAATTTTCTTAAGAACCCAGTGCTTATCTTTAACTGTTAATCCATCATGCAAGAAAAAGATTCTCGAAGTATCGAC